CCCTTCCTATCTCTCTCTAACACCAATAAAGAAAAACAAACAAACAAACAAACAAACCAGACCATGATCAGTGCAGGTTTAAGCCCAACAGTAGTCCTAGTCTTTCTGGGGAACTATTGCCCTCACACTTCCTCTCTCAAACCATCTGAACTCTCTATGCCTCAGTTTCCTCTCTTCTTCAAAACAGAGCTTAAAACAGTAATACCCCTGTGGCCAGTCAGTATGGCTCAGTGGTTGAGCATCAGCCCATGCACCAGGAGTTTGCCAGTTTGATTCCCGGTCAGTGCACATGCCCAGGTTGTGGGCCCGATCCCCAGTGGGGATTGTGCAGGAGGCGGCCAATCAATGTTCTCTCTCATCGATATTTCTTTCTATCTCTCCCTCTCCCTTCTCTCTCTAAAATCAATGAAGGAAAAAAATTTAAAAAACACAGTACCACCCTGCCCTGACCAGTGTGGCTCAGTTGGTTGGGCATTGTCCCATACCCCAAAAAGTTGCTAGCTTGATTCCTGGTAGGGGACATGCAGGAGGCAGCTGATTGGTGTGATGTTTTGACCTCACATCGATGTCTCTCTCTCTCTCTCTCCCTCTCCTTTCCTCTCTCTCTAAAAATCAATTTAAAAAAACATATATATATATATATTTTATCCTCACCCAAGGACATTTTTTTCTATTTTTGTTCAGATAGAGTGGGAGGGAGAGAAAGAGAGAAACATTGCTATGAAAGGGACACATTGCGTGGCTACCTTCAGCACGACCCCAACCAGGGCCAGAGATGAATCAAAACCGAAGTATGTGCCCTTGACCAGAATTAAACCCGCGACTCTTTGGTCTGCAGGCTAATGTTCTAACTGCTGTGCCAAACCAGCCAGGGTGAGGTAGTACTGTTTTTTAAAAATATATTTTTTAGCCCTGGCCAGTTTGGCTCAGCAGTTAGAGTGTCAGCCCACAGACCAATGAGTCGCAGGTTTGATTCCGGTCAGGGGCACATACCTCGGTTGTGGTTGGGTTCCTGGCCCTGGTTGGGGCGATGTGGGAGGCAACCAGCTGGTATATCTCTCTCACTTTGATGTTTCTCTCTCTCCTTCTCTCTCCCTCCCTCCCACTCTATCTGAGGATAAATGGAAAAATAACCTCAGGTGAGGATGTAAAAAATAAAACAGTACTACCTCAAAATTACAGGGTATGTTAAGTAACAACATGTACATAAAATTCTCAGAATAGTGCCAGGCACAGAGTGGGCATTACTGAAGTACTGGCTATTATATTAGCTATCTATTGTGTTGGATGCATAACAAATGACTTCGAACAATAATACACATTTATTATTTCATAGTTTTAATGGGTCAGGAGTTTGGGAGTGGCTTAGCTGGGTGGTTCTGATATGTGGGTCTCATGAGGCTAATAACATGTCAGCTGAGGCTATGTCATCTGAAAGTTTGACTGGAATTGGAGAATATGCTTTCTTTTTTCTTTTCCTTTTTGTTGAATTTTTTTGGGTGACACTGGTTAATGGAATTATATAGGTTTCAGGTGTACAATTCTATAACACATCATCTGTACACTGCATTATTGTGTGTTCATCACCCTAAGTCAGGTCTCTGCCTATCACCATTTATCCCCCTGGAGGATGTGCTTTCGGGAGAGCTGTCTTATATGGCTGACAGTTGGTTGTTGAGTGGAGGCCTTAGTTCTTCAACATGTGAACCTGTCCAAAGGGTTGCCTGAGTGTCCTCACAGCATAGTGGCTGGCTTCTCCCAAACCATGTAATCTAATCAAGAACAAGGCAGAAGCCACATTAAGTTTTTTATGACCTAATCTCAGAAGTCACACACACCATCATTTTAACAATATGCTCTTGATTATATGATAGGGAAGAACTACATAAAAGTGTGCATATCAGGAGGCAAGGCTCAATGGGCTATTTTGAATAAAGGTAGTACATCATGGCTGCTGAGAACACAGCTCTGAGTTAGTTAGCCTGGTTTCAAATTCTACCTCTGTCCAGATAACTGTAAGAACTTGGATAACGCACGGCCAGTGTGTCTCAGTGGTTGAGTGTTGACCCATGCACCTGGAGGTTGCTGGTTCGATTCCCAGTCAGGGCACATGCCCAGGTTGTGGGCCCGATCCCCAGAGGGGAGTGTGTAGGAGGCAGCCAATCAATGTTCTCTCATCGATGTTTCTATCTCTCTCTCCCTCTCCCTTCTTCTCTTTCTAAAATCAATAAAGAAAAAAATTATTATTATTATTTTTTGGTATGTGCCCCTAGCCGTTAGGGCCTAGTGGGAACTGAACCCAGGACTCTCTGGTTCGCAGGCCGATGCTCCAACCGCTGAGCCAAACCGGCCAGAGCGAAAAAAAATTTTTTTAAAAAAGAACTTGGATAACTATGTAACCTCTCTTTCACTGTGTCGTCATCTATAAAATAGAATAACTACCTACCTAAGTTGGAGTTATTAGAATTAAGTGAATACAGAATCACTTTAGAACAATACCTGGAGTATATTTGGTACACAGTAGGCGTTTGCCACTATCTTTATTATAAGCAGCCCCTCCACTGACAGATCAGCTCTTCCTGTCCCTCCCACCAGAAGCCCCAAGGGTTGGAGATTAGTAAAGAGGGACTGAGGGGCCCCTCGTAGCCTAAGTCTTAGAGATATAGATTGAAAGACCCTGCTCATGAGACCATGTCCTGCCTCAGATTGAAAACTCCCAAAGGCTAGGACTTCATTCAACTGCCCACAGACAAGGAAATAAAGTCTAATTTCACTGCTTCTTTTCTTGATGAGAGATTCTAGCCCACATGTCATCTTTCTATTCCACTTACCTTGACCAGAGTAGCCTATGTGGGACCTGGGGTGTCTCGCCCACCATTATGGCCCCAGCACAATAACTGGTGCATTCAAGAAACAATTGGTTGGGGTGACTATGTCATTGCTGGGGCATAGGGCACATTCCACAGAGCACTTTTTAGGATGCAATCAAGAGTCAGGCCCCTGGAGAAATTATTTTGTAGCTTGTTCACAGCATGTGCCTCTAAGAGAGAGCCTTTGGTGATTTGTACCCCCTGAAACATGGCACCAAGGAAGAAGCCCCTGAGAAATGGATCATGAAATGGATCATTCAGGTTGGGAAAGTAACTGATCATCTCAGCGCAGGAAGCCAGCGAGAAAAGAATACACTCTGGGCCTTGGCTGGGTTTGCTCAGTGGTTAGAGAGTCATCCCACGGACCAAAGAGTCATGGGTTCAATTTCAGTCAAGGGCACATACCTTGGTTGCAATTTGATCTCGGCCTTGGTTGGAGTCATGTGGAAGGCAGCCAATCGATGTGTCTTTCTCACATCGATGTTTTTCTCCGTCTCTTCCTCTCTCCCTCCCACTCTTATCTGAAAATCAAGGGGAAAATATCCTATGGTGAGGATTGAAAAAAAAATAATAATAACACACTCTGGAATAGCAATGTCCCCCACTTAGACAGAAGTGATGGGCTTCTGGGTAGATAGGCTGGCTGCCAGGGCAGATGCTGACTGTCCAGGTCTACTCCTTGTGGAGGTATTCCTCCCTGCCCTTCCCATCTACCTTTCACTGCTGCTGGGATCTGCAATCCTGCCAAATGTATGAGTGGTGACCTGTATATCAGGCCTGGGGCATGCAGTTTCAGATTCCAGAGGCTGAGCTGGCTCTGAGCCCTGCTGAGTCAAATTTGTTCTTGCCAGAGCTTGGAACCAACCTGCCCTGGATTCTTCCTGACAGACGGATTTTTTTGTGCCAGCCTCTCTTTCCTGACAGGATATAGGGGAGTTGGTGAGGATGAAGGCGGAAGACTTTAGTGAAAGTTTGTTGAATAAATACCTTTGTGGAATGGACATGGTCCAGCCTTATAGCTGCACTCAGTTGTTTCTTTGTCCCAATCTCGCTCATACCCCAGTCTCAAAGGGTTGAGGTCTCTCCACCACTAACTTGGGTACTCCATATAGCAGAGCAGACAACTGCCCAATGAATGAATGAATGAATGAATGGATCTTCTTTCCATGTATTCCCTCTTTCTGTTCAGAGCTTCCTGTTTTGATGCTGGCAAGGCTCAGATACTGCAGACCCTGTGGGTAGAGCGTGTCAGTAGAAAGTGAGGTGTGGGCCCTGACAACAGGACACTAGGTTGCCGGGAAGGGGGAGGAGGTACACTGAAGAATCCACAGACAGCCCGGCTGGTGTGACGCAGGGGTTGAACTTCACTCTATGCACCAGCAGGTCGCTGGTTGGATTCCTGGTCAGGGCACATGCTTGGGTTGTGGGCCTGATCCCCAGTGTGGGGATGGGTGAGAGGCGGCCCACGGATATTCTCTCTCATTGATGTTGCTCTCTCTCTCCCTCTCCCTTCTTCTCTCTCTAAAATCAATAAAGAATAATTATTTTTTAAATATCCACAGACACATGTGCCACGATGAATCCTTGAGCTGCAAGGATCATGGGAGCCCAGAGACATCTCCCCGGGGGCCAGCCTGGTCTTGGAAGGCTCTCCCGGAAACATCCTGGGCTCCTCGCAGGTCCTGCGGGACTCAGCGCCCCAGGGCCCTTTCTCGTACGTCTCCCGCCCTCTCCCTAGCTTTTCACTTGAGGAGGGCAAAAGGAATGTCGCCCCCACTCTCAGCCTTGGCGTTCCGTTGCCAGCGCCCTTTCCCTAGTTGAGTGCAGTGGAGCGGGGTGGGAGGCTCGGAAATCCTACGCTGGAAAGAGGACTGCGGTGAGAGGGGCAGTCACGTCTCCCTTGGTCGGCAGAGAAGCCACCTCAGCACCAGGTAGGGAGGAGTTTTGCACCCCTGGGGCGCCCCGCACCCCGCATTCTAACTACACTGCCCAGAACACAGAGAACCCCACCGGGAACTGCAAGGCCCACCCCCGGCACGCCCCGAGTTCCGCCTTCAAAGTTGCCCCGCCCCTTTCGCACCCGCCTTATAAAAAGGGCGTCGGCGGAACACGCCAAACGAGGGCTGGAGTTTGAAACTGACCTTTGTTCTCCGGCTCTTCTGCATCCGCGAGAGACTCTGCCACGGTTCCTGCGTATTTAGAACCTGCGTTCGCCTTACGCCCGCGCAACCCTGTGTCTGAGTCCCTGCGTTACCGCGTACCCACACACAGGCCACTCGGAAGGATGCATTGTGTGCCGACGGCCGGAGCAGCCCTGGTGCTGTGTGCTGCCACCGCCGGACTGCTTAGCGCTCAGGGTCGCCCCGTTCCGGTGGAGCCGCCGCAGCGCTTCGCGTCCTGGGACGAGGTGAATGTACTAGCTCACGGGCTCCTGCAGCTCGGCCACGGGCTGCGCGAACACGTGGAGCGCACCCAGGGACACCTAGGCGCACTGGAGCGGCGTCTGGGCGTGTGCGGAGCCGCCTGCAAGGAGCCGGGGGCATCCGCCGCACCCCCGCACGTCCGGGAGAGTCTGGTCTCCCCCGGCAAGGCCGCCTCTGAGACCCTCCGCAGCCTGCAGGTACGTGTGACCTGGGGTGGCTGTCCGCACTCCTACTACTCTCTAGAGACTCTGGAAGGGTGTAGACGTAATTGAGGTGCTTCCTGCCCAGGTGTTAAAGGATGGAGAGTTGGAAGGATAGAGGAGTGGATGAATAGAGAGATTTGCAGCAGAAGGCCTGGTCTTCACGAGGGTTTTCACACTCTCTCCAGACTCAGCTCAAGGCTCAGAACAGCAGGATCGAGCAACTCTTCCAGAAGGTGGCCCAGCAGCAGCGGCACCTGGAGAAGCAGCATCTGAGAATCCAGAATCTGCAGAGACAGGTACGAGTGCTTGCACCAGGAGGGGAGGGAGGTTGAAGCTTGGACCTGTGGGTCTGGATGTGAGCCAGTTATACCTGACACTCTCCTCCCATACTTTCCCAGGTGGGCCTCCTGGCCCCCATGTACTTGGCCCATGAGGTGGCCAAGCCTGGCAGGAGGAAGAGGCTACCCAAGATGTCCCAGTTTGTTGGCCCCACTCACAATATAAGCCACCTGCACAGTGAGTGTTCAGCCCTTTGCTGTCCTCGGGCAGCTCCCTCCTCCACACACAGACACATACACTTGTCATTCCTGTACCCCTCCTTGTCATGTCCACCTTACTTGAGAAGGAGAGAGGTCCTAGTTCTGGGTCCCTCTGGGCTCTGGTGAAGGGCTTATGGGGGCACGTCCCTCAGCTCTGTTCCTGACCACCGCACCCTTCTTTCTGGGGGGTACTGTGGGTTTCCCCCAAAACCTTGCTGGCCACTAATAAAGCAGGGGTTGGGAAAGAGGGTTCAAGAGGGACTTGAGTTGCAGGAGTGTGGGGAATGGGGTGGTGCCGCTCAGGGACACCTCCACATAGGTTGGAACTTTCTAGGAGGGCATGATGATGGACAAGAGGGTGCCAGCTAGGGAGTCTGGAGTCACTGGGTGAACAGCAAATGCCTATCTGGGAGAGGGATTCTAAAGCTTGGAGTGTGGATCTAGGAGGTGGAGCAAGGGCAGGGGATCCCTATCTCCCTGGCCAGACATATTAACTCTTACATCCCTGATAAATCCAGGGCTGCTGACCCAAAACCTGGTCCCTCACCCCTCTCTTGTCCCCAGAGTGCCTAATCACCCCCCTTTCCCATCTCTCCCACTTCCACAGAGAGTTAGCCATTGCCACCATCTGGGTTCTATTTGGGTGTATGGCTGAAATTGCCCCAAATTTCCAACATGTCTGTGTATGTCAACACAGGCTCCCAGCTTCCCATATCTTTGTACCACTTTAAGTTCATGGTCTCAGAGCCAGCTGACTTCCCCTCTGGTCCTGCTACCCTGTCACCCGTCACGGCATCTGTGGCTGTCTGCAGCCAACTGGGTAAAAGTTCAGTCCCCCCCCTTTCACACCCTCAGGCTGGTTACTGGCTTCCAGCCCTCTAGTTTTGAGGGCTTCCTCCACCCCACCACTCCCCATGACTCCCTTTGGGAAGGGTCCAGTACACCCTCCCAAACTGCTGTCCTGGGATGAGGGGCTTCTGGGATGGGTCAGTAGGTATAGGTCCAGGCTGAGAGATGTGGAGGAGATTGGAGGGGGAAACTTGTGGATTTGGGGACTCCCAGACTCCAGCTTAGTTCTGCCAAGTAGGGGAAAGTTCATAGCTGGAGAGAGAAACAGCTGGTGCTAATGGAAGCCACATTGGTGGTTTGGCCAGGTGCCTGTCCTGATTGGAAGAGAGGAAAGTAGGCAAAAGGGTAGCTGCCCTAGGGGCTAGAAAGTGTCTTCAGTCACTCTGGGCTGGCCCCCACCCCTGCAACGGTTAGGACACACTCACCCCTTGTCCTGGGCCTTCCCACCCCAGTTCCCACAGGCGACCTTTCCCCTACTTTCTTTGCTGGGCTGGGGGTGGGACTTCGCATTAGCAGTAGCCATTCCTGCTTCCTCACCTCCTCCCTTCCTGTCACCCTCCCTGTCTTCCACCTGTCCTCCTTTACTACTTAATCATTCAACTCCCCTCTGATACCTGGGACCCCAGGCAGGGCCTCTGTCCCCCCTAGTCCCATCCAGACCTGATCTTAAACCTCCACTAGACAAAGCAGAGCTTGTCCATTTCAGCTCAGCTCTTACCTCCCCACTCTGCACCCCCATCCAGCTCCTGAAATCATTTATTTATTAATCATTCATTCATTGTGTCTTTATTAAAGACCTGCTGTGGACTAGGATCAGCCTGGGCACTGGTGCCAGAGTGGACCAAGAACATTTCCTGTCCCTGGCCTCATAGAAGCCTCATTCAGTAAAGGGAGTTGGGGAGAGACCACTGATGACCCTAGTGTTGGGAGTGGGAAGACCTTGATGCCCCTTTCTGGGGGTCTGGCCTGGTCTAGGAATCAGGGATTTCTTGCAGAACCTGGGATCTTTAGAATAAAGCAGAAAAAGGCATGAAGGAAGAGTGTCCTAGGCAGAGGGACCAGCATGTACAAAGACTCTGTGGCAGGAGGATGCATGGGACAAGGAAGGCTGTGTGGCCTGAGTGTGGACATGCTGTGTGGGAAGAGGGAGATGGGTGAAGGGCCAGTCCTGGAACTTTTTTTTTTTTATCCTCACTCGAGGACATTTTTCGATACTTTGTTCAGATAGAGTGAGAGGGAGAGAGAGAGAGAAACATCGACGTGAAAGCGACACATCGAGTGGGCTCCCACCCACACGACCCAACCAGGGCTGGGGACAAACTGCAACCAAGGTACGTGCCCTTAGCGGGAACCGAACCCGGGTCTCTCCGGACCGCAGGCTGACGCTCTAACCGCTGAGCCAAACCGGCCAGGGCAGTCCTGGAACATCTTGTAGTCAGTGTTAAGGAAGGTCAGAGAGAGCCATGGAAGACTTTAAGCAAGTGTAAAGAAAGGGTGTCATGAACTCAGGATTGCCCCCTAATATCCCTGTTGCCCACTACCCAAATTTTAGATATACCTGTTTCCTGAGAACTGCAGGACTGCTCTCTGCTTCAGTGTCCCACCCCTCTCTTTGCCCTACAGGGCTGCCCCAGGACTGCCAAGAGCTGTTTGAAGAGGGAGAACGGCAAAGTGGACTGTTTCAGATCCAGCCTCAGGGTTCTCTGCCTTTCCTGGTTAACTGTAAGATGACCTCAGGTAGGATGTTAACCCGCCAGGGAACTGTTGTCTTTTTGTCAAATGCAGCCCACCTCCCTCACTCCCACTCCCTCCTTCCATGCTGGGTCCTAGGGACAAAGATCTAGGCTGAGCCTCTGGCCCTCTGGCCAGCCCACACAATATTTCTTCCTTTGACCACCTTCCTCCAGTCTTGCTGGGATGAATGAGGGGAGTATTGCTCTTCCTGGGTTTGGAGGTGTCTTGGGGTTTTGGAGCCAGATGGAGGAGTATGAGTCCCTTGTGAGAAGGGTCCTCCTGGTGACCTTGTACCTGTCTGGGCAGATGGAGGCTGGACCATAATTCAGAGGCGCCAGGATGGCTCTGTGGACTTCAATCGGCCCTGGGAAGCCTACAAGACTGGCTTTGGAGATCCCCAAGGTGGGTTTCCAGAAGCCAGAAGCACAGGGGGAGTAAGGGGCTACAGATGTGGGTTCCACTGTCACTGATGACCTTTCCTATTGTAGGGGAGTTCTGGCTGGGCCTAGAGAAGGTGCACCTGATCTTGGGGGACCGCAGCAGCCACCTGGCTGTGCAGCTACAGGACTGGGAGGGCAATGCCGAGTCATTGCAGTTCCCTGTCCGCCTGGGTGGAGAGGACACAGCCTACAGCCTGCAGCTAACGGCACCTGTGGCCAGCGAGCTGGGTGTCACCACTGTGACACCCAGTGGCCTCTCCCTGCCCTTCTCCACTTGGGACCGGGACCACGACCTCCGCAGGGACAAGAACTGTGCCAAGAGCCTCTCTGGTGAGTAAGTTCTGTCCTTCCTCATCTTCCCTGCGAGGCCTCCCCTCCCTGCCATTCTACTTCCCTGCCCTGCTTTCAACTCTAGTTCCACCCATTACCCTCTTTTCCTTACTTACTTAACCTCTCCCACCTTCAGTTTCCCCATCTTTAAAATGGGTATAGCCTGGTTGGTGTGGTTGAGCATCGACCCATGCACCAAGAGGTCACCAGTTTGATTCCCAGTCCCAGTTGCAGCCCAGTCCCCAGTGGGGGGCATGCCAGAGGCAGCTGATTGATATTTCTCTCTCATCAATGTTTCTGTCTCTCTCTCTCTCCCTCTCTCTCAAATCAATAAAGAAAAATATTTTTTAAAATAAAATAAAATGGGTATAATAACAGTACCAACACCATAGGATTATTATGAAAATTCAATAAAATGATATTTATTGGATGGTGGCTGGCATGTGGCAAAGCCTCCAAGACAAACTCCATCTTGTTCTAGTAAAATCGAAGGCAGAGCCCAGGACTTGTGAAGTGAAACATATCAAAATGCCTTCTGGTGGGTCAAAAAATGATGGCTCTCTGGCCGTGTGGCTCAGTTAGTTGGGCGTCATCCCCTGTACCTTAAGGTCGCTGGTTCAATTCCCTGGTCAGGGCACATGCCTGGGTTTCGGGCTCTATCCCTGATCCCTGGTGTGGGATATGCAGAAGGCAACTGATTGATACACTTTCACATCAGTGTTTCTCTCTCTTCTCTCTTCCTTTTTCTTCCTCTCTCTCGAAAAATTCACTTTAAAATCTTAAAAAAAAAGTCAACATTTTATTGCAAATTTTATATGCTTGATCAAGGGAAGACAGATACAATGCTAGCCTTTGGCCCAGAAGAATTTCCTGCTCTCACTCCTACAAATGATCACATAGTGTCAGAAAGAAGGTTTCTTAGAGATCATTATGTATTATAACAATATGCATTCAGCAGAAAACACTTATAGAAAGAACCAAAGTAAGAGCTGGCACTACCCTGGCCAGTGTGGTTCAGTGGTTAGAGTGTGTCAGTCCCTAGACTAAAGGATTGTGGGTTCAATTCCTGGTCAAGGGCACATATGAGGGTTTCCTGTTCGATTCCTAGCCCTGGTTGGGGCATGTGTGGGAGGCAACCAATCAATGTGTCTCTCAAACATCATTGTTTCTCTCTATCTAAAAATCAATAAACTATTCTTTAAAAAAAAAAAAAGACAGAGCCCTGGCCGGTGTGGCTCAGTTGGTTGGTGTGTCATCCCATGCACCAAAGGACTGTGGGTTTGATTCCTGTTCAGGGTGCATACACAGGTTGCGGGTTCCATCCCCCACTTGGGGCATGTACGGGAGGTAACCAATCAATGTTTCTCTCTCTCTCTCTCTCTCTCTCTCTCTCTCTCTCTCTCTCTCTCTCTCTCCCCCCCTCTCTCTCACATCAATAAAACTATATCCTTGGGTGAGGATTAAAAAATAATAAAAAGTTCCCTGGCTGGTTTCGCTCGGTGGTTAGAGCATCGGCCTGCGGTCCAGGGATACCTGGGTTTGGCTCCCGCTAAGGGCACGTACGTTGTTTGGGTTGCAGTTTGTCCCCGGCCCTGGTTGGGTCGTGCGTGAGGCAGCCACTCAATATGTCCCTTTCATGTCGATGTTTCTCTCTCTCTCTCTCCCTCTCTTTCCCTCTCACTCTATCTGAACAAAAAAATGGAAAATGTCCTCGGGTAAGGATAAAAAAAAATAATCATAATAATAAAAAGTAAATAAAAATGATGGAATACTGTTAATTTCATGTGGTTCAATCTAATATAAATTGATGAAACAGATGACAATCATAGAAAGACAATGAGCCCTTGCCAGTTTAGCTCAGTGTCAGCCCAGAGAGTCCCGGGTTCTGTTCCCGATAAGGGCATGTACCTCTGTTGCAGTTTGTCCCCGGCCCCAGTTGGGGTCCTGTGGGTGGCAGCCACTCGAAGTGTCTCTCTTGCATCGATGTTTCTCTTCTCCCCTCTTTCCCTCTCACTCCATCTGAAGATAAATGCAAAAAAATAAAAGCTTTTGGTGGGGGAGAAAGTCTTTAATGAATGTTTGTCATGTGTCAGGCACAGAGAAGTGACTTGCCATGGTCACAGATGTGAAAGCTATGGTTATTGGATCGGGGGGCCCAGTATCCTTGAGGCTCCTTTGTCACAACCCGGAGTTCCTCAGAACACAATTTGATGACCACTGCCAAAGTCCTCCCATCTAAAGTGTATAAAGTCCAATGGCTACCCTCATCTCCATCCCAGCCCCAGTGGTTAGGCCATGCCTAACTCTGTTCCCTTTGTTCTAACCCCTACAGGTGGCTGGTGGTTTGGTACCTGCAGCCATTCAAACCTTAATGGCCAGTACTTCCACTCTGTTCCTCAGCAGCGGCAGCAGCGTAAGAAGGGCATCTTCTGGAAGACCTGGCGAGGCCGCTACTACCCACTGCAGGCCACCACCATGCTGATCCAACCCACAGAGGCTAAAGCAGCTTCCTAGCCTCCTTGCTGGGGCCTGGTCCCAGGTTCCTAGAGGACAGTGACTGTGACTTTGGCCCAGCATGTGGCCACTCCCCGCCTGTGCAGGAGCTCCAGGCAGGGACCATCTGGAGCCTTTTGGGCAGAGAAGAAGCCTTTGACTGGAGAGGCCTCCTTCCTTATTGGGGGCTGCAAGCAAAACCCTCTGAGAAGGACAGGACTGTAAGGCACAGACCACAGAAGTGTGGGACCAATGGGCATTGAGGTCTGCTCCTTGCTTACCCAAGGAGTAGGGGATGCAGAGGGACCACTCAGGGGCAACCAGGCCAGCCCTCAGGTAGATTCAGTCATGTTGACTGTCCAGAGGACCAGGGTGCCCTCACGGTGCTGTTGTATGTGGGTGCTGTGGGACCAGCCCATGCCAATGGTGTCTGGGCAGAGCACATAGAATTATTGGAATAAAAGTAACCTTAGAACATTTCATTCTTTGTCAGGTTTGTTTTAAAAAATGAACAGTTTCAAAAATCCATGTAAACATGTTGTCAGGGTGGAGGTGAACACACTTCCCTGGTCTATTAAGGACAACACTGGTTATTCCTACCACCTCTGACAACTGATTTTAATTTCTTTCATTTATTATTTCATGTCATTTTTATTTTCAAAATTAGAAAACAAAGCCTTGGCCTGGCTGGTTTGGCTCAGCAGTTAGAACATCGGCCCGTGGACCAGAGAGTCCCGAGTTCGGTTCCCGCTAAGGGCACGTACCTTGGTTGTGATTTGTCCCCAGCCTCAGTTGGGGTCGTGTGGGTGGCAGCCACTCGATGTGTCTCTCTCGCATCAGTGGTTCTCTCTCTCTCTTCCTCCCTCTCTCCCTCCTGCTCTATCTGAAGATAAATGAAAAAAAATGTCCTCGGGTGAGGATAGAAAACAAAGCCTCATTTATTCCCTCTGGAAGCAGATAACAGAGAAAATTAGAACATCTTCTTGATCATACTTATGCAGGTGAATTACCATTAACCTCTGTATCCCACCAACTGATAAAAATATGTGAGTCACATGTTTAATTTTATTTTTTACAGCAGTCACATTTTTTAAAAAGTAAAAATAAATTAAAAAGAAATATGTGAAATGAATTTTTAAAATATATTTTATTGAATCCAGTATATCAAACGTATCACTATTTCAACATGTGAGCAACATGAAAGCTTTTTAATGAGATATTTGACATTGCTTTTTTTTAACTAAATCTTTGGAATTTGGTATGTATTTTATATTTATGGTACATCTGAATTTGGACAAACCATATTTTCAGAGGCAGTGGCCACCATATTTGGACAGCACAGCTCTCTCTCATGTGTGCATTAATGTAGTGTTTGAGGTAAATTAACTTTTTGGTGGGGGTACCTATCTCGATGTTCTCCTTTAAATTGGCTTTATTTTGTTTTAGTAAATATTTTTTCTTTCTTTCTTTATTTTTCTAATCCTCACCCGAGGACATTTTTCCATTTTTTGTTCAGATAGAGTGGAAGGAAGAGAGAGAAAGAGAGAAACATCGACGTGAAAGGGACACATCGAGTGGTTGCCACCCACACGACCCAACCAGGGCCAGGGACAAACTGCAACTGAGGTACGTGCCCTTAGTGGGAACTGAACCCGGGTCTTTCTGGACCACAGGCCAACGCTCTAACCGCTGAGCAAAACTGGCCAGGGCTTCTTTATTGATTTTAGAGAGAGGAAGGGAGAGAAAGAGATAGAAACATTGGCGAGAGAGAACATCAATTGGCCACCTCCTGCATGTTCCCCACAGGGGACCAGACCCACAACCTGTTCATATGCCCTGACCGGGAATCAAACTAGCAGCCTCTTGGTGCATGGGTTGACGCTCAACCACTGAGTCACACCAGCTGAGCCTTTTAAATTAGCTTTAAAAAATACATATATAAATTAAAATATTTACCAAACAGCCACTACATACTAAAGCCCTGTACTAAGTGCTTGGGGTACTGGAGGGAAAGAAGAGTCCTCGCTGGCACCAAGTCCCTCCCATTACCGATAGGGGGACCTATAATTGATAGTCCAAACTGAGACACTTTTTGAGAGTGAAAGGGGGCATGCTGTTAATAATTAAGCCAGATGACAAATGTAACGCAGCTCACTCCCATGCATATCAGGACTTATTGACTCAGTTTTTTATTTATTTATTTAATTATATTTAAATAATATTGTTTTTAAAATTATTTATCGGTTGATTGAATTTTATAAAAGAAGGGAGAAAAACGCTTTCTTGTTCCACTTATGCACTTATTGATTGATTTTAAGATTTTTAAAAATATATATTTTATTGATTTTTTAGAGAGAGAGGAAGGGAGAGAGAGATAGAAACATAGATGTAAGAAACATCGATTGGCTGCCTCCTGCATGCCCTCTAATGGGGATCCAGCCTGCAAGCCTGGCATGTACCTTGACCAGGAATAGAACCAGGACCTCTCAGTCCATGGGAGGACTCTCAATCCACTGAACCACTCTGGCCTGGCTAAAATTGATGTTTAAAGAGAGAGAAAGAAACATGATGTGAGAGTGCAACATTGGTCAACATGTTATCTCCTACATGCCCTCTACCAGGGATCGAACACACAACCCAGGCATGTGCCCTGACTACGGATTGAACTGGCCACCTTTCAGTGCATAGGATGTCACCCAACCAACTGAGCTACACTGGCCAGGGCTATTGGTTGATTCTTGTAAGCGCCCTACCAGGGATCAAACCCATAACCTTGGTGTATCGGGATGATGCTGTAACCAACCAAGCTACCCGGCCAGGGCCTTGACTCCATTATTTGTTTTCTCTTACTCTGTTTTTAAAAATGTAAACAGCCCGGCTGGTGTGGCTCACTGGTTGAGCATTGGTTGCACCTATGCACCAAAAGGTTGCCAGTTCAATTCCTGGTCAGGGCACATGCCCAGGTTGTGGGCCTGGATGTTTCTATCTCTCTCTCCCTCTCCCTTCCTCTCTCTCTAAAATCAATAAAGAAAAAATATTTTAAAAACTGTAAACAAAATGAATAACAAAGAAAAAATGTAAACTCATATCTCTACTACATATGGAAAATCAGTATCACCTGCCACAAATAGATTAGTAAAACTAAAGCCAATGAGCCCTGGCCAGTTTGGCTCAGGGGTTAGAGCATCGGCCTACAGACCAATGAGTCGTGGGTTTGATTCCGGTCAAGGGCATGTACCTCGATTGTAATTCATCCCCGGCCCTGGTGGGGGTAGTGTGGGAGGGAGCCCCTCGAAGTGTACCTTTCACATTGATGTTTCTCTCTCTCTCTCTTCCTTTCTCTCCCTCCCACTCTGAACAAAAATGGAAAAATGTCGTCAGGTGAGGATTAAAAAAAACTAAAGCCAATGATAAGACTCTTTTTTAAAAATATGTTTTCATTGATTTTAGAGAGAGATAGAAATATCCATGTGAGACAGATACATTGATCGGCTGCCTCCTGCATGCCCCCTTCTAGGGTTGGAGCCTGAAACCCGGGCATGTGCCCTGAGCAGGGAATTGAACCAGGACAAGGCTCAGTCCACTGAGCAACACCAATGGGGCTAAAGCCAATTTAAATAAAACAATGGCAATGCTTTAAAATTCCAGCTAGCCCTGGTCAGTTTGGTTCAGTGGTTAAAGAGTTGGCTGGTGGACCAAAGAGTGTCAGGTTTAATTCCGGTCAAGGGCACATATCTGTGTTGTGGTTCAATCCTGGCCCTGGTCAGGGTCATGAGGTAGGCAACCAATCGATGTGTCTCTCTCACATCAATGTTTCTCTCCCCGTTCCCACTCCCTCCCTTCTACTGTCTCCAAAAATCAATAAGAAAAATATCCTCAGGTGAGGATTAACAAAAGAATAAAATAAAATTCCAGCTAGAAAATGGATGTATGGTGGAAAACACACACACACACACACACACACACACACACACACACACAGTGGCCGCCTCTGCAAGGGTAGAATGGGGACTGACTGGGTGACTGGGAAGGGGCATGAGACTTTTGTGATGTCTTAAATCTTGATAGAGGGTTGGTTACTCCAGGGTATGTCTTTGTCTCAGCAAAAGCACACTTAAGATTTCAAAACTCTGGCCGGTTTTGCTCAGCGGTAATAGCGTCCACTTGCAGTCCAGAGAGACCTGGGTTCGGTTCCCGCTAAGGGCACGTATCTCAGTTGCAGTTTGCCCCGGCCCTGGTTGGGTCGTGTGGGTGGCAACCACTCGATGTGTCCTTTTCATGTCCATGTTTTTCTCTCTCTCTCTCTCTCTTCCTCTCTTTCCCTCCCACTCTATCTGAACAAAATATCAAAAAATGTCCTTGGGTGAGGATAAAAAAAAAAGATTTGTGCATTTAATTGTATGCAAATTTTACCTAAAACACCAAAATACTAGAGTCATAAATAAATACTGAAGCCCTGGACAGTGTGGCTCTGAAAGGTCACCAGTTTGATTCCCTGCAAGGCATATACCCAGGTTTCGAGTTTAATCTCTGGTCGGGGTATGTACAGGAGGCAACCAATCAATGTTTCTCTCACATCGATGTTTTTTTCTCTCTCCCTTTCCCTTCCTCTCTCTCTAAAAGTCAAATTTTTTTTTTTTTTTTTTTAAATTTTATTTATTCATTTTTTGGTACGTGCCCCTAGCGGGAACTAAACCCGGGACTCTCTGGTCCGCAGGCCAACGCTCCAACCGCTGAGCCAAATCAGCCAGGGCTCTAAAAGTCAATTTTAAAAAACATATTTAAAAACACACACACAGCCCTGGCCTGTTCGGCTCAGCAGTTAGAGTGTCACCTGTGGACCAATGAGTTCCAGGTTTGATTCCAGTCAAGGGCACGTACCTCGGTTGCGGTTTGGTGTCCGGTCCTGGTTGGGGTTGTGCGGGAGGCAACTAGTCGATGTGGCTCTATCACATCGATGTTTCTCTCTGTCTCTCTCTCTTCTCCTCCCTCCCACTCTACCTGAAGATAAAGAAAAATATTCTTGGGTGAGGATTTAAAGAAAAGTAAACACACACACACACTCCCAGCTCGGCACACTCCCAGCTCAGCCAGTGTGGCTCACTGGTTGAGTGTCGACCCATGCACCAACAGATCGCTGATTCCATTCTCAGTCAGGGCACGTACCCAGGTTGTGGGCCCAATCCCCAGTTGGGGTCATGCAGGAGGCGGCCAATCGATGTTCTCTCTCATCGCTGTTTCTTTGTTTTTGTTTTTTTTGTTGTTGTTGATGTTCAGATAGAGTGGGAGGGGAGGAGAGAGAGAGAGAGAGAGAGAGAGAGAAACATCGATGTGACAGGGACACATCGAGTGGTTGCCAACCAGGGCCAGGGACAAACTGCAACTGAGGTACGTGCCCTTAGCGGGAACCGAACCCGGGCCTCTCTGGACCGCAGGCCGACGCTCTAACCGCTGAGCCAAATCGGCCAGGATTCTCATCGCTGTTTCTCTCTCTCTCTCCCTCTCCCTTACTCTCTCTCTAAATTCAATTAAAAATATATATATATAAAAAAAAAAACCGGCCCTGGCCGGTTTGGTTCAGCGGTTAGAGTGTCGGCCTGTGGTCCAGAGAGACCCGGGTTCGGTTCCCCCTAAGGGCACGTACCTTGGTTGCAGCTTGTCCCCATCCTCGGTTGGGGTCGTGTGGGTGGCAGCCAGTTGATGTGTCTCTCTCTCACATCAATGTTTCTCTCTCTCTCTTCCCCCCTCTCCTTCTTGCTCTATCTGAAAAATGAATGAATGTAAAAATGTCCTCGGGTGAGGATTAAAAATATATATATATACTCCCAACAAATATTAAAGTGTAGTTAATGATATGCATGCTGAAGAGTTTAGAGGTGAAGATGCCTTTAATTTTCTATTTTACTTTTAATTTTTCCAGCTGTATTGAGATATAATTGACATATAACATTGTGTAACTTTAAATTGCACAATGTATTGATTTGACGCATTTATATATTTCCAAAATTATGACCACCATAGCATTAGCTAACTCTTCTATCACATCACATCACATCACATAATTGCCATTTCTTTTTTGTGGTGAGAATATTTAACATCTACTTTCTTAGCAGTTTTCAAGTATACAATACAATATTATTAACTATAATCACTGTGCTATACATTAGATTCCCCAAATCTTTAACTCTCTTTGAAATGCACCAAAAAGTACAATGATGGATGGGTGGAGAGAGAGAGACATGTGATAAAGCAAAATGCTGTAGTAATGGTGGAATCCAGGTGGCGGGGATATAAGTACAGAGATATTCTCCGTATAATTCTTCCCATTTTTCTAAATGTTTAAAATTTTCACAATAATATGTGAAGATTTCAGACTTTCATGTAGCATTACATGAAAAGCACGTGGAATAGTGAGTGTCTGGCTCACAGTGAGCACCCAATATAAACATTAGCCATTCTTACTAATACTGTTATTCCTACAAGTCATGCTGGGGGTGGATCACGGAGAGGAGTATGATCAGGACAGGAGAAAATGCTTCATGAAATAAACATGGTTTTTGAGTCAGTTTTCAAATAAGGATAAAAATTCTACAAAAATGGTAGTGGGAGCGGAGGTGGCATTCCAGGAATAGGTCACTTTGAGAGCAAAAGCCTAGTGGCCTGGGTAGGAAGTGCACAGCCCCATCTAGCTGCAGCATAGAGCAGGAAGCTTGGTGGAGCACTGGGGTACCATAGGGAGGGGCTTTGGCCAGAATGTATAGGGTTTCAAGCTAGCTGCCCAGGAGCTTGCTGATAAAGGCCAAAGGGTCTGCACTGGTCTGGCTTCCAGCCTGGCCTTCACCTAATCTCACCTCTGGAACTCACTCTCCAGCCACCATGTTCTCCTGGCTGTTCAGACTCATCAAGCTCTCTTACTTGCTGTTGCATCCACCATCTCCTCCCTCACCTGAGGACTCAGTGCAAATGCCACCTCCCTCAGGATGTCTTCCCTAACTCCCTAGCTAAGGAGCTCCACCATCACATAACCCAGGCTATTTTCTTCATTGAATGCTTCCCATTCTGAAACTATCTTGTGTGTGTTGTTTACTTGCTTCTTGTCTGCCTGTCCCCACTAAACTGTCAGCTCTATGACAGTTGGGACTTTGTCTTATTCAATGGTGTGTCCCTGGTACCTAGAGTGCTGCCTGGCACTTAGTAGGTGCTAAGTAAGTGCTTATTAAGGAAAGGACTAAAAGATTTTTAAATAGGGGAGTGAGAAGATTTGACTCACCTTTGTTTTTTATCCTCACCCAAGGACGTTTTTGCATTCATCTTCAGATAGAGCAGGAAGGAGAGAGGGAGGAAGAGAGAGAGAGAAACATCGATGTAAGTGAGACACATCAGCCAGGGGAAAACTGCAACCGAGGTAGTGCCATTAGCAGGAACTGAACCTGGGTCTCTCTGGACCATAGGCCAATGCTCTAACCACTGAGCCAAACCAGCCAGGGCTGACTCACATTTTAAAAGACTCCCTATGGCCCTGGCCGGTTAGGCTCAGCGGTTAGAACGTTGGCCTGCAGACCAGAGGGACCCCGGTTCGGTTTCTGCTAAGGGCACATACCTCAGTTGCAATCTGTCCCTGTCCCTGTCCCTGGTTGGGCTCATGTGGCAGCCAATTGATGTGCCTCTCTCACATCGATGTTTCTCTCTCTCTCTTCCTCCCTCTCTCCCTCCTGCTCTATCTGAAGATAAATGCAAAATGTCCTCGGGTGAGGATAAAAATAAATTAAATAAATAAATAAAATAAAAGACTCCCTATGACTGCTGTGGGAAGAACAGTGTGTACATATGTGGGTACAACAGGGTAATCTGGGTGGTCCCAGGAGAGATGATAAAGCAAGAATCAGGGTGATGGCAGTGGAGGAGCAGTGGAAGAGTGGTCAGAATACAGGAGGAAGGAGGGACATAAAAAGGCAATTAATACCTGGCTAGTATGGCTCAGTTGGCTGGGCAGAGGGCCGGGAAACAGTCATTAACGGGGCGGAGCAGGTGGGTCCAGAGCTGCAGGCATTGACCTATGATGTCATGGGGACGTTAGAAAGCGTAACATCACCAAGCTAACATCACCTGGGCGTAGCCCTATTTTCCTTTTTGGACAGTTCCTCTGTTAGGCATGTTCTGAATCAAGCCGCTCATTGGCTACTCGCTCTGTCAATCTAATTAGTTATTCCAGTTTGCCACCCGCCTTCCTGAACCCGTCTCTGAGAGGCTGATGCAGCCGTCACTTCTGAAAGGTCCGCATTCCTTCCGCCTTTCTTCAACAGACGACAGCGAGGAAGGTGGATCCCAAGCAGCACCAACCCCGGAGGCTCTGCTTCCACCTCTGATTGGCTGCTCTGGGTGCCCGTCGCTACGCCACGCGGCGCTGGTTGGCTACCCTGCCGCCTCTCTGTGCGGCGCCGACGCCGACGCCGGCCCTGCCCCCGTCGAGTGTTTGTGGTGGGGCTGCGGAGTCGCGGATCCTGCTGGAAACTCCAGGACAATGGGGACCCGGGACGACGAGTACGACTACCTGTTCAAAGGTACGGCCGGTGGGGTACAAATGGACGAGGGGACGGCGGCCGACAGGCTGGCCTAAGTTGCGTCCAGGCCGCTGGTCCCAGGTCAGAGCCCAAGGCTTGGGGCCCGGCGGTGCATGCAGTCGAGAAAGCTTAGGCCGGCTGCTTTCGGGCAGCGTTGGGCTGGGGTGTGCTACCATGCAGACCCGGCAGCCCAGAGGCGCCTGAGCTTCCTGGACGCGCCCAAGCAGAGCTGGGGCCCAGAGGGGGTGGGGCCCAGAACGGTGGGAGAGGCCGTTGGGGGTGGAAACTCCGGAGGGGACGGGACCGCCCCACCATTTGCCAGCCGGCAGGGTAGAAAGCTCCTTTGGGAATGGGGGCGGGCCCCTTGGAGGAGGGACTAGGATATGATGGGCGTGTCCAAGACGAGTGCTGACGGTGCTCTTCACAGGGTGGGCGTGGTCAGACTTGGTGGCAGCACTTTTGGAGGCGGGGCTCGGGAAGGGAGGGGTAGACTATGCCGGTTGAGATGGGTGTTGAGGAACACGGGATTTCGTGGAGGAGTGGGGCCTGGTGTGGGGACTGTGTGTTGGACCCAGGCCTGGTGGTTAACAAGGACAGTTTTCTCTTAACTTTCAGAACTTTTATTTTTTCAAGAGGATATTAAATCGTTTAATGATTACACATGATAATAGATGAAAAACAAGTTTCATTCCCATCTATAATTTTATCTGGTACCATAAAAATATGGATGGCTTCACGAATTTGCGTGTCATTCTTGCGCAGGGGCCATGCTAATCTTCTCTGTGTCATTCCAATTTTAGTATATGTGCTGCCAAGCTAGCACATGCTTAGAACTCTTAGTAGCATAACCCAAGTACCTGCACTTTTCTAAGCTTTTTATTTTATTTATTTTATTTTATTTTTTATATATATGTGTAATGTATTTATAACTGGTTACACGTTGGCTTCATAATTAGGCATCACCAGTAGTAGTTGGCACAGTTCATCACGTAAGCTTGGGGTCGAGTTACATGTCAAGGTCAAAGGCATTTCATCTCCACGCCGTTTCCTTAAATAAGCAGAGTCCCAGGAAACTGTACAGACGCTGGAGTCCTGCTGCTACTTCCCAGGAGCGGGGCCGGGACCAGGGCGGCAGGTCAGTGCGTCCGGCTGCTAGACTCTGATGGGTGCAGCCGTTGAGACAGCAGTTGGTCTGCCGCTTGGACAGCCCCCCCCCCCCCCCCTTTTGAGAATATCCTGAATGTGCTGCACAATGAGGCTGATGGCCACTAGGTTGCCTACACCTCTAGGTATGATCACATCTGCGTATTTCTTTGTGGGCAAGCAGAACTCCTCGAAGGCAGGCTTGACGAAGGTGATGTACTGGGACAAGATCTGCTCCGGGTCCCGCCCTCGCTCGCTGATGTCCCGTAGCACTCTGCGGGAGAGCCGGGTGTCCACATCCGTGTCTACAAACAGCTTCATCTGAAACAGGTTCTGCACCTCCTGGGAGTAGAAGGCCAAGATGCCTTCGAAGAGAACCACGTCCGCGGGGTAGATGGTGACCATCTCCTCCTTCCAGGAATGGACGACAAAGTCATACACGGGGATCTGCACGGTTTTCCCTGCGGTGATGTCTTTCAGAGTTTTGAAGATGTGCTCGTTGTCAAAGGCATCTGGGTGACTGAAGTTGAACTAGCCCTTAAGGGCTTTGGCCTTCTGCTCCTCAGTGAGGACGCGGTAGAAGCTGTCCTGGCTCAGGATGACCACCTGCTTCTGGCGGTAGTCCACTTTGTTCTGCCCCAGGAGCTGCACGATCTTGGCACAGGCGGAGGACCTGCCGCTGGCCTTGCCCCCGCTGACGCCGATCAGGAAGGGCTCTCTGCCGTTGGGCTGCTGGTGGTTCTGTAGGGTCTGCTCGCATTCCCCGGCCATGGCTCGCGCCACCCCTCTGCAGCTTGTGCGCAGATGCATGCGCCCTGGCTCCCTGCTTCCCGCCCTCCGCGGACACCCCCCCACCCCATCCCCCGCGCCCAGGAGGCCACTGCCAGCTGCTCAGAGCCGGTCTGCGCCGCAGTCCTGGAGGAGCGAATGTGCCTCTAAGCTTTTTACACACATGAATTCATTGACATCCTCACCACAATCCTGTGACATCGATATTATCCAGCCTCTTTTATGGACCTGGAAACGGGGGCCCAGGGAGACAAGGATGTAAGTGTTAGAGCAGAATTTGAACCCTGGCTAGTTGTTGGTTTTACCCTTTAGCAAGTGTATCTAGGGAACCTGTGGCCAGGATCTGGGACTAAGGTGTCAGACTGCCTCCTTCAGCACATGCAGGATGAGGGCTCAGGTCTGGGCCAACCTGCTAGAGGATTTTCCCAGCTGGAGGGTCAGAGGGCTCTATGAGCTCCAAGTATGGTCTAGGAAGGTAGGCCTCCATAGCTGGCTTGGGGCCAATTGGGGAGCTCCTTCACCCTGCCCCAAGCTGGGGAGACTTGCTACATGTCACTGGAGTCCTTTGTTTCTCAGCTCAGCTGGTTTAGGGTCACTGGCTTCACATCATCTTCTTTGCCAAGCTGGACTTTGGCCAAGCCCTCTGCTGTCCGTGTTGGGATCCCTGGCTGATAGTGGTTGCCCTTGAGAGCTAACTCCTGGGCCCATACGGGGCACATTTTCTCGGCTGCCTGTTGTGTGAGGGTCTGCCTCCCACGTCAGCTGTTGGAGTCTTCCCCTTGTTGGGGGAGCCTGGCCATCCCAGGGAGGGTGGTCTGTGTCTGGAGCTGGCCTTGGATGACCATCCAGCATCCTGGGGCTGAGAGCCTGGGACTTTGGGAATATGGAGGAACACTCCTTAGGGTGGAACACTCCTTACCTGGATGAAGGAGTGCCCATACAGAGGCCCAGAGTCCTCACACAGCACCATGGGCTCTGGAAGCTGCCTGCAGGCTGATATGTCACTGGCATGAGGCCAAGTTCCTGGTGCTGACTGAGCCTTGTGGTTGGTCTCACCTTAGAGGCAGGGGAAGCTCTTTCAGGGTTTGGGAACCAGGGACAGGTGGTCTGGACTCCAATCCTGCTACAGCTGGTGTTCGTCTCTACTCAGCCTGCTCTTAGGAGCTGCTCATGGATCAGGTTAGGGCACATATCTGGACATAGCACTGCCAGGGCAGGTTTCTGTGGTCACTTGCTTGTTATTTTCAACTGTTTGCTGTTATAAGTAATTCAGCTCCAAGTGTTTGCACAAGTCATCTTTTGCCCTTTGGGTTATTTCCTTGAAGTATGTTCCCAGAAGTATAGTTAGTGGGTCAGGGGCAGTGGAACAGCTGTGTACTTCCCAGGATTCATCTCTAGTCCACTTCCTGGAAACACTGATCCGGCTTCTGTGGCACCTGGCACAAAGGAGAGAATGCCTGCCTACCCTGCTGCCCTCCTTTTCTGAGTCCAGCAGGTGCCTTGCTGACCTTCTCAAGCTGGGTTGGAAGTGAAGATCTAACCTGCAAGGTCGGGGTTCTCCAAACTGTGATAATCTGAGCCCTTTCCTTCACACTTACACCTTGTTGAATGACACAGCCTCCCCCTATCATCCTTTAATGTTTGTCTTTAAATTCACTCAGTTTTCATTTCCTTAAATGGGAAAAAGAAAGTCTATTTGGCTCTGGCAAATAAAGAAGGGAGGAAGGAAGTTGGCAGGCAAGCCACAACCCTCACAATAACTTACCATAAGTATGGCTGGTAGACAGAAATCTGAATATGCTGCACTTCCACGCCCCGCCAGCCCCTCCTGAGGCCCAGGGCCTGCAGAGGGTCAGGCCTGGGCATTAGAGAGGCATCCAGGACATGACTGACTGCACCAGAAGGGTTGACCAGGGCCAGCTTTCTCTCTGGCCCTGCCGCTGGTACAGGACACCCTTTAGCAGAAAAGGGGGCAGCCATCCTCCCACTCCCCACCCTGTGCCAAACCTCCTACAGGCTTCGGTCACCTTCTCCTAGTCCTGTCCTGGGTGTGGAGGGGCCACACCTCTCACTTTGGGACACTGGTTGCCACCTGCACAGCCTTCTCACCAGTCTTGTTTGTTTTGGCAGCCATCACATTTTGGCTCCCCTGACCACCACCAAGGCCAGCAGATCCTACTGGGTGTTTTCCCCACGTGGTGTTTATTTTCTTCGCTGCACATTTCCCCCTTCCCCAGGAGTGAGGTTGTTTATTTGTACCTAATTATAGATTCTCACATTTATCCTGCTAACATTTTATCCTGTCAGCTGTAGACCATTTTCCCAGCCTGATTGGTCCCCTAGGGCTCCCCTGACTTCTCCTCTGATTGAACAGGCTGTGGTGTCTACAGTGGGAACAGTGGTATCCCCTAGGGCCACTGAAGCCTTCCCCTGGCCCCTGCCACTCACCTGGCCCATAAAGATGTGGTTGATGTGGAGAGCTTCACACAGCCTCCAGTAGTCCAGAACCATGTCCTCTGGGTTGTGTGTATCCCTGCCCCATCTATGAGTCCTGTTGGGAAAAGGGGTGAGGAGAGAGTGACTGCCAGCCCCAGTGCTTGCCTCTTTCTGCCAAGTGTTCCGAAGGCAGCCTACTGGCTCTGCAACATGGATAGGACCCTTCTAGGTCCAGGAACCGAGCACACTATCTTCTCCAATTGCAAATGGTGGCCCTGCCTGTGCCCCAGTTTTGGATACCTACCTCTTCTTTTTTCTCTGATTTCCAGAGGAATAGCTCTGACAAGATTGCCCCCAAGTGCTGATCCCTGGAGCCTGGGATAATCAGGGTCTGCTTCCTGGAGGAGAGATGGGGCTCTGCTCTGCCTGAAGTAGGGGAACGTGCCCCCACCTGAATGGCCAGTCAGTCTGCTATACTGTCATGGGGCAGGCCAGAGGACCCAGACCTCTAAGAGGTTCTAGCTCTTTGTTTTTGCCAACTGGGCTTGCCTGCCCTGCCAGTCTAGAGGCATGTCTAGGGAGGCCATTTTCTGGCCAACATTGCCACCAATTTCTGTGGAAATGCTGGGGGTCATGTCCTCAGGGCCCTTTATTTCCCCAAGATAATAGATAGCTTGTGACTTTGACAGTGCCATTCTCATGCCTACAATGTTCTCAGAGCCAACCTGGCCACTGCCCTGCTGGCCATCTCTCTGCATCGGGCACCTGTGCCAAGGAATGCCTAGGCATCCTGGCCTTTCCACCATTTATCTGGGCAGTGGCTGGTGACCCTTGTCTTATTCTTGCCTCCACTGTTCTCACTGGGTCACCTTGGATTGGAGGACTCAGTCACTCTGGGTTGAGTGTCCCCAGCTGTACAAGGGGAATGATTACATGACATTTGTCTCTGGAGTGGCTCCAGGAGCTTGATAATAAAGCCTTTAGGGCAGTCTTGGTCTGTGGGATTGAGGAGATTGTTGGCTAGGCCAGGGCAGAATCAATTGTCCCCAACACTGGGACAAGGCTGGTTAGGGAGTAAGGGGCTGGGGGAATACAGGGCAGGGCTCAAAAGGGACTCTTCCTCATTTCCTGTTCCATTCCTGACAACATGAGAACTGTGAACAAATCTCCTCAGACTTGGCTAGGTTTTTCTGGCTGCCATGGGAAGGAGGTGAGGGATTGGGGTTGTGGATGTTGGGCCCCACAGTCAGTCCAGCCTGGCCCTGCATAGCTTTGGAGCCGATTCAGGGCCCCACCAGCATGATTGGAAGCCCTCAGCCCTGGACCTCAGGCACATGTCCATCTCCACCTATTTTCCACCTGTTTCTGAAGTCAACTTGGCAGTCTTCTGTTGGGTACCCACAGTGTCAGGATAGGATAGTGGCCCTGTCATCACAAACTCCTGAGTTCAACCTTGGACCCAGAAAGCCTGGGTTCAAATCTTGCCAGATCACTTTTAAGCGGGTAGCCCAGGTGAGCATGGTTGGGAAATGAAAGTGAGCCTGCTCATGTCCTTGCTCTGCAGCCATCTAGCCTTCTAGCCTTCTGCTCACTGTGTGTCTTGGGCTCATCATTTCCCTGTTTGCACCTCAGTTTCCTCATCTGTAAAATGGGTTACATGCGGCTTCTGTGAGGTGATGCGAATCAAAGGCTTTCTTGGCTCAGACTCATTAAATTTTCTTATTATTATTCTTGGCTCTGAAGCAGCCAGCCCAGAAAGGGTGCTGGGTCCTCGGGGCTGGGTCATTGGCCCTCTCTTCCCCTTTTGCCTGAGGATGATGCCTGGAGGGGGCTCTGCAGCCACTTTATCGTTTGTTTGTTCACTCCTTCCTGTGTTCTGGGTTCTGTGCCAGGTCTTGGGATACAACAGGGAATGAGACCGTCTGAGAGCCTACCCTTGGGGCAGACTGGTAAAAAACAAATAAGTGAAACCTGGGAGTGTGGGAGGGTGGTGAGAACTAAGGCAGGGGAGGGGAATGGGGAGTGTTGAGGGGAGTGGGTTTTAAGAGGACTGTAGGAAGGGCCTCCTTGATCAAGTGCCATCTGAGGCACCACACGGAGGAAATGAGGGTGGGAACCAGGTGGGTACCTGGGGAAGAACATTCCAGGCAAGGGCAGTGTGCACCTGCACATCTCTGAGCAAGGAGGTTCTTATGGCAGGAGCAAAGTAAGCAGGCAGGAGAGAGAGAGGAGATGATGGCAGGGAGGAGATGGGCAGGTCATGCAGGGCCTTATGAGTCCTGGGGAGGACATGGACTATTACCCCAAGAAAGGCGGGAGCTCTTGGAGTCTGTGGGCGGAGGAGGGGCAGGACCTGACTCAGGTGCTCACAGGTACCCCCTGGTGGCTGTATCGGGAGAACAACCTGTTGGTTGGAGATGAGAGTGAACTCAGACACCAAGGGGGAGGCTAGTGCAGCAACCTAGGGAGAGTAGGAGGCTGCCTAGACTAGCTAGGGTTGGGACCGTGACCTGGTAAGAAGTGGGGGGAGGGGGAATCTGGACATGTACACATAACGTTTTTTATTGAGGAATTTTTCATTGTGGTGTATGGTAACCAGGCCCACAGTGCCCACAGCTCTCCACTACCCTCCACAGCGCAGATCTACCCTCCAGTGCCAGATCTCAAGGCCCATACTTGGGGGTTCATGTGGTTTCCAGCTGGGACATCTGATCAGACTGCTGTGTTGTTCCTTCTGTGACGCACATACATCCATGCATGTGTGCACACACACACGGACACAGTTTTCCTCCAGTATGCCCTGGGACTGAGGATAGCCTTCCTGGGTCCAGGACCTTCTTGGACCATCTTGAGTGGCCCCACTTCTAATGGAACAGACCCAACGGGCCTGCTCTGCCCTGCTCTGAAGGGCTGGTTGTCCTGGATGTCCCTGCAGGGTGGTTCAACCCTGGGGATGGGGGGATGGGAAGGGTAGCAGGCTCTGTTCCCTTTTGGTTAAATCCAGAGGGCACATTTCTGTTTTAAATGGGTAAGTTGGCTGTGTTGGGCTGCATGTTGGTTTGTTTCCAGCCACTTTCCATGAAGAAGCAGCATGATGGGCATGCGACGTGAGACTTCTCATTTCTTGTTACTTAAAACTCCAGAGCCAGATTTTTATTGGTAAGAACCTGGTGGAACAATAGTAATAACTGTTTCCCCACCTGTGTTAGTGGGCTGGATGCTGGCTGAGTTCTGATCTTGAAAGCTCTTGTGTTCCCTTCCCTGACCTGGCTCTTGTTCCTGTCCTTCTTTCACACTTGTAGAAAAGGCAGCCCAGAGAGGTTAAGTGACTTGCCCAAGCTTATTTGGGCCTTGAGGCTACAGTGGAAGTTTGGGGGATTGATGGATCCCCAAACCACCTGTGTGCTGGAATGCCTGGGTCCCTGTTCCTTAGCTGGGGAGGCCCTCCTCTGAAGAACCAGACATAGGCAAGAGTATTGTGCTATCTGCAGTGGCTGTATTTCTGGAAGCCTGGGGCCACTGTTCACTTCTGTACCAAGAAACATGGTGCCTCAGGCTAGGGGCACTAGGACAGCTGACTTCACCCTGTTGTTGGCTGTCACATTTCTGAAGAAACTGGGGCACCACTCTGAAGGTTCTGCAGATGGACCTGGTTGGTGTGGGACTTGGGGACTACCCTGCTCTGGCCCATGGAGCCTCACCTATATCCCTTCCCACCCCTACAGTAGTGCTCATTGGGGACTCAGGTGTGGGGAAGAGCAACTTGCTGTCCCGCTTCACCCGCAACGAGTTCAACCTGGAGAGCAAGAGCACCATTGGTGTGGAGTTTGCCACCCGCAGCATCCAGGTGGACAGCAAGACCATCAAGGCTCAGATCTGGGACACTGCTGGCCAGGAGCGCTACCGTGCCATCACCTCCGCGTGAGTGGCGGGGATTGGGAAATGCAGGAGGTTGTGGACATAGGGCTAGTGGGCTCTGAAGGACGGGTAGGAGTTATACAGGAGGAGAAGGGGAGAGCACAGCCCTGAGGGCAGTTGGCCCAGGGTGGAGGGATGAGACACCAGTAGGAGCTATGAGACCCTCAGGAAGACCAGTGCCCACTCTCTCTCTTTTTTTTTTTATCCTCACCCGAGGACATTTTTTCCATCTTTTTGTTCAGATAGAGTGGGGGGGGAGGGGAGAGAGAGAGAGAGAGAGAGAAACATCGACATGAAAGGGACATATCGAGTGGTTGTCACCCGCATGACCCAACCAGAGTTGGGGACAAACTGCAACTGAGGTACGTGCCCTTAGCGGTAACCGAACCCGGGTCTCTCTGGACCACAGGCCGACACTCCAACCGCTGAGCCAAACCGGCCAGGGCCCAGTGCCTACTCTTAACCACACTGTAACCTCATGTGGGCATGTCCCATGGACCCTCTGACCCCTGGAGTCCCTCTGAGGCACTGCCATTTTGCTTGGTACTGGCTGTACAGTGAGGGCTATTATCTGGGCCCAGAGTTGGGCCATTCCACTCTCAGTCCTGCCTGGTTAGCCTGCCCTGCCTGGCTGTGTTCCCAGTCTTCCTCTTCTCTCAGCTTTCCATGGCCACCCAACCATCAGGACCTACTCAAGCTGCCTCCTTCTAGACCCCTCCCAACCCCCTGGCCATTTCCCTATTAGTCACACACTGTGCTCTGGATGCCCTCCATTGAAGCCTGGTTATCTCTCCATCTCTTTAATTCCTCAGGGTGGATATGTGTCCATTAGTCTTCTTGGTGGGCCAGGCCATGACAGGCATCAGAGCTTTTGCCTAGCAGCAGCCCTTTTCTTGCACAGACATTGTTTCCTTTGCCCCCTTTTCTGGGTGCCTTCTGACCTCAGGCCCTAAACTCCTCAGGTCCCCACAGTCCTGAGCTGAATCTGAGGGCACAGAGTCCTCCCTAAAGGCCATGATGGCCACCTCTTGGTTGGGCTCTGTGTGGGCCCAGGAGCCCCTGCCCATGGAATCTAGGGAGCCCCCATGGGGCGCTGGCAAACAGCTCATTTCTGGGCCCTGCCGTCTGTCCCCATAGATACTACCGTGGTGCAGTGGGCGCACTGTTGGTGTACGATATCGCCAAGCACCTGACATATGAGAATGTGGAACGCTGGCTGAAGGAACTGAGGGACCATGCTGACAGTAACATCGTCATCATGCTGGTGGGCAACAAGAGTGACCTGCGCCACTTGCGGGCCGTACCCACTGATGAGGCCCGTGCCTTCGCAGGTGAGCGCGCACCAGCTGGAGAAGGGTTTCACTTAGTGTCAGGGCCCTCCCGCAGGAGCCAGCTCCTGACAGCAGGATTGTGACTAAGGCATCAGAGAAGCTTCTGGAAAGCAGGCAGCCCCCTTCAGGTCCTTTCTGAGCGTAGCTGCAGTGCCAACCTCCCCTCCCTGAGGAATGAGCATCTTGGTCCTACCCCCTTGGCCTCAGCCCTTCATTTCCTGGGCCAGGTGAGTGGGCAGGCATGCAAGGGCCCTTAGAGGTTGTAGGGGAGCCCCCCCCCCCCCACTCACCTGGTCAATATTCTCTCTGTTCCAGAGAAGAACAACTTGTCCTTCATTGAGACCTCAGCCTTGGACTCCACCAACGTAGAGGAAGCTTTTAAGAACATTCTCACAGGTGATTTCATAGCCTGGTGGGGGCCACAGGAACCTTATCAGGCCCACCAGGGGTGGTTGGGAAAGGCACCAGCCACACTGGTTGCATGCTCCAGAATGCAGCCCCTGAACCATCATTCCTTAAACATGCTGGTCAGTCTGAACAGTAGGACAGACATGACATGCTCCATGAAGTCAGGCCAGATCCCCCGCCACTGGCACTCAGGAACCAGCTCAATGTATGAGCCCTGCCATGGCTCCACCAGGGAACAGCCAGAGGGGAGAGGTGGCCTTGGACCCAGAGCTCCTGGTCTTCCAGGAGTTTATTCTGAGGAGAAGGGGGTTTCTGACCTTTTAAGAAGAAGAGGCCTGGGATGGGGAGGATATGTCTGTGACCACATGTGGGTTCCACCCTTGCTGAGTGCACAAGGTGGAATCCTTATTTCATGGCATGTGGGTAGGCCACAGTGGGGGCCTTTGGGAGGGCACAAACTCCCTAGAGGAGGTGACATACAAATGAGTTCTGCAGTGGGTAGTCACCAAAGGCAGGGGCATGCAGGGCACTCACCTTGCTTCTTCCCATTGCAGAGATCTACCGCATTGTGTCACAGAAGCAGATTGCAGACCGCGCAGCCCATGATGAGTCCCCTGGCAACAATGTGGTGGACATCAGTGTGCCGCCCACTACCGACGGACAGAAACCGAACAAGCTGCAGTGCTGCCAGAACCTGTGACTGCCCCGTTCCTCATCCAAGTGTGCGTGCACATCCTCGTCCTTCACCTGCCCCTCACCATGATGTTTTCCGGGACCCGACCCTCTGTCCCTCTGTGACTGGCTCCCACCTTCCACTGAGCTCTGCATAGTCAGCTGAGGCTTAGAAAGAACAGAAGTCAAGCAGCACCATTGCCTCCCACCCCAGGAAAGCTTGAAGCCTGGCTGCTGCACCTGTTCTTCTTGGGTCCCAGTGGGCCTCTGGGGAGGGTGGGAGGGTGGCAGGATGGACAGGGACATTCAGAGGCAAGAGGATGGGTACACCAAGCAGGCTTCTTCAGTTTTCCACAGCAGACTCCAGGGAGTGATTACATCCCTTCCTCTCTGGCTAGTTGTTCCAGCTGGTCCTGGTCACCAGAACCCTGCTCTGGACTAAAGCCTGAAGAGCAAGTGACCAGGGGGCTGGAGTAGGCAGACATAGGCTCCTGGCATCCTACTACCCATGCACAGCCAACATGGCACTCACCTTTGACCTCAGCTTCTCCTGTGCGTGCGTGAATCCAGCTCTTGCCTGTAAATTTATGCTGGGAGAAGACCACCCCACTTCCTTTCTGCACGCAGCGCATTGCCCACCCTTTCCTGTGCCCTTCTCTCTGTCTTGTCTCCCTGTCTGGTCAGGAACCTGTTTGCAAGTGAAGCAATATCTCAGTGTTTTGTATATATAACCACTCTTGTAGCCTTTGGTTTTTTGTTATTGTAGAGAAACACAGATTCTTTATACACTTTGTAAGATTGACGCCTAACCCCAGATCTCAGATCTCTTATTCTCCCTGTGGCCCCTGCACTGTTGCCCCAATGCCTCATTTCTCTGGCCCATTACTAAAATGTGTAACCCAACTTCCTGGACAGAAACCTGCTGCTGCACTTTTGTCTTCTTTCTCTCTGCCAGGTGGCCACCCCTGAGCCAGGCACCTTGCTGCACACATTCTGCAGTGGGTAGCACCACTGGGCTCAGCCTTACAGGGAGCTAGAACACCAGGCCTGAGTCCCTGCCTAGGACCATGCAGAGGCCTCCTTAGCTGACCACAGGGGTCCCAGCGTGGGTTAGGGTGGGATGACCCCTTTCCAAACTGCACCTGTGTGGCAGGGAGGAAGGAAGGGTTAGGAGGTTGACTTTATAAACTCCCTGGTCCTAGGACCACCACCTCTAGGACTTGAGGGTGGCCCTCCAGGAGGGGGTGGGCTCTGCTGACTACTTTCACCTCCCAGCCCTGGGTGTTGAAGTGCTCATTGCTTTCATCAACTCCCCACCTGGCTGCCACCTGGAGTCCCAGCAAGGACTAGCAAGAGGGGCTGGCTCAGATGGTGGTGGTACCAGTCTCACTCCAGTTCTCTCCATCCCAGACTGACCTCTGAGGAGGGCTGAATGGGATGCTGGTGACAGAGGAGGGCTGAGTGGGATGCTTGTCCACGTGGGCAGGACTGGCTTGAGGACCAGTTCCCAAAGTGGAGGAGGAAGAGGTGTGGCCAGCCATGTGCTTGCACTGACCACATGACCCAGTGTATGTACCCTCTCACCTGAGAGCCAGCAGCTATTCTAGAAGCTCCAGTCTCTATCTAAAATCCCTTATTGCCCTTGACCCCTAGAGGAGAGCCACCAGAGGAGGATTCCAGGCTCTGGCTGCCCTGCCCGGAAATATAGGTAGGCCCAAGACATCCCTCCAGAAGAGTTCTGAGTCATAGGGGCTCTTCTGATAGGAGTTGGGTGAGCCAAGACCCATGCTAGGAGCACCCTGGCTGGGAATCTGAGAGGGTACAATCCAGGGGCTATTTACACGGACCCCAGGTCTCCTGGGTTTGGGTAGGACGGGCTGTGGAGAGGGCAGAGGGTGAATGGGAGCTTCAGGGGGGCCAGGTGGAGCACTGAGGCACCTGGAAGGGTTTCAGGTAATCAAAGGTCAAGTCTTTCTGGAGCCTCAGATTGGCCAGGTCCTGAGCACATACCAGGGAGAAAGACTGATGTGACTCTGTCCCCTTTGGGGTGATAGTCCAGTGATGCTATTTTAGTTACTCTAATTTCAGTAATTTAATAAGCACAGCATGCTGGCCTTGTGCCAGGCACTGTTCTTCAGGGTTTTTTGTTTTTTTCTTTATTCCTCACCCGAGGATATTTTTCTTTTTATCTTCAGATAGAGTGGGAAGGAGGGAGACAGAGAGAGAGAGAAACATTGACTGGTTGCCTCCCACAAGACCCCAACCAGTGCCAGGGACGAACCGCAACTGAAGTACATGATCCTGAACAGAATCAAACCCGAGACGCTCTAACCACTGAACCAAACAGGCCAGGGGCAGGGTTTTTGTTTTGTTTTTATGATAAAATATACATTACAAAAGTTTTTTTTTATTTTTAGAGAGAGAGGAAGGGAGAGATGTTTGTTGTGCCATTTATTTATGCATTCATTGGTTGATTCTTTTATGTGCCATGACCAGGAATCAAACTCACAACCTTGGCTTTTTGGGACAATGACGCTGTAACCAACTGAGCTACCTGGCTGGGACCATCTCAACCATTTTTTTTTTTTTTTTAATCCTCACCCGAGGACATTTTTCGATATTTTGTTCAGATAGAGTGAGTGGGAGAGAGAGAGAGAGAAACATCGACGTGAAAGCGACACATCGAGTGGTTGCCACCCACACGACCCAACCAGGTCTGGGGACAAACTGCAACCAAGGTACGTGCCCTTAGCGGGAACCGAACCCGGGTCTCTCCGGACCACAGGCCGACGCTCTAACCGCTGAGCCAAACCGGCCAGGGCCCATCTCAACCATTTTTAACAATTCAGTGGCATTAACTATAATCACATTGTTGTACAACCATCTTCAGAACTTTCTCAACTTTCCAAAATGAAACTCTGTCCCCATTAAACATTAATTCCCCATCTCCTTCCCCAGGCCCTGGCACCCACCATGTACCTTGTGTCTCTGAATTTGTCAACATAAGAATGTCCAGACCTATAGATGCTTTTTATAAACATTTGAGGATAGCCCTGACTGGTGTGGCTCAGTTGGTTGGAGCATTGTCCCATATACCAAAAGGTGGCAGATTCAATTCCTGGTCAGGGCATATAACTAGGTTTCGGGTTCTCTCCCAGTTGGCATGTGTGTGGGAGGCAACTGATCTGTTTCTCACATTGATGTCTCTTTCTTTTTCCCTTTCTCTCAAATCAGTTTTTAAAAATTTATTTTAGGCCCTGGCCAGTGTAGCTTGGTTGAGCTGTGTCCCATGCCCTGAAGGGTTGCCAGGTTCAATTCCCCGACAGGGCACATTCCTGAGTTGTGGGCTCAATCCCTGGTAGGGGGCACTGATCCCTCTATGTTTTTCTCTTACATTAATGTTTCCCTTCCTCTCTCTCTAAATCTCAATAAAGATATTTTAAAAAAATATTTTAGGCCCTGGCCGGTTTGGCTCAGCAGTTAGAACGTTGGCCTGTGGACCAAAGGATAGTGGGTTCGATTCCTGGTTAAAAGGATGTACCTGAGTTGCAGGTTCAATCTCTGACCCTAGTTGGGGTTGTGTGGGAGGCATCTAATCAATGTGTCTCTCACATCGATGTTTTTCTCTCCCTCCCTTCTACTCTATCTAAAAATCAATGGAAAAATACCTTTGTGTGAGGATTAAAAGTAACAACAAAGAAGATGTATTAAAATTTTTATTTTAGGATAAATTATCAGAGGATACACCTGGAAGCAAGATCTCAACACAGAAAAAAAATGCTTTGGAGAATGACAGTTTGCAATTTCTTTTATGTATTTGAGATTGAGGAGGAAAATTACATGAAAGTGGGAGAAAACAAGATGGTGATCGAATTACAGCATAGTTAAGGTGATGTGCTCTCCTTGCCCAGCTGGTGTGGCTTACTGGTTGAGCATCAGCCCATATACCAAGAGGTCGCTGGTTCAATTCCTGGTCAAGGCACTTGCCCAGGTTGTGGGCCAAATCTCCAGTGGAGGGCATATAGGAGGCATCCAGTCGATGTTCTCTCTCATCAACGTTTCTATCTCTCTCCCCTTTTCCCTTCCTCTCTCTCTAAAAAAAAATCAATAAAGGGGAAAAAAAGATTATGCACTTTAGAAGAAGGTGTCTGAAAGAGGGCATTTCAAAGGTGTTGACCTAGATGCACAGAATCAATGGACAGGGCTTGCTTAAGTCAAAGATAAACGTTTTAATGAAGTCATATGCTGAGGCGTGAATACCCACAATGACCTGCCCAGTCAGCAATGTATGATCAGACCACCCTGCGAGGTTATTTTCCATAGAACCCCCACCTTTTTTTTGCCCACAAATTTGACTCCTGTAGGGACCTCATATTGAGTGGACTCATAAAGTATTTGTCCTTTTGTATCTGGCTTATTTCATCGAGCATAATGTCCTCAGAGTTTATCCATGTTGTAGCTGGTGTCAGGATGGCCTTCCTTTTTAAGGATGAATAGTATTCCATTGTATGGATGGACCACATTGTATTTATCCATCACCTGTCTATGGACACTTAGGTTGCTTCCACTTTTTGCAACTGTGAATCATGCTGCTATGAATGGTGTGTGAATATCTGTTCAAGTCCCTGCTTTCAATTCTTCTGGGTGGAATTGCTGGATCACATGGCAATTCTGTTTAATATTTTTGAGGAACTGTTAATCTAAATAAATTAATGACATAAAAGAACATAGTTTATATGTTTTATATGTCATAATTTAGGTTAACAGTTCCTCAAAATATTAAACACATAATTACCATGTGATCCAGAAGGTGGGCGTAATTTACCAGCCCCAATTTACAGTCAGGGAACAGATGTCATTGATGGAAAAAAATAAAATAGCTATTTTTTTTATGCTTACCCAAGGACATTTTTGCATTTTTCTTCAGATAGAGTGGGAGGAAGAGAGAAACATCGATGCGAGAGAGACACATTGAGTGGTTGCCACCCACACAACCCCAACCAGGGCGGGGGACAAACTGCAACCGAGGTACGTGCCCTTAGCGGGAACTGAACCTGGGACTCTGATCTGCTGAGCCAGACTGACCAGGGCTAAATAGGTTTTTGTTTTTTTTTAAGTCAGTGATTCTCCCAGAGTCCCACAGTTAATAAGGAGCAAGCAGGTTTTCATCCCAGAGCTGTATTTGTAACCACTAAGCAATAAGGCTACTTCCAGTGTTATATTGAGTGCTTACTATGTGCCAGAAATCCCTAACAATTGAAGAAAATGCCCAGATAAAAGACTGGGAAGATGTATACCAACATTTAGAAATAAATTTTTTCATTTAATATTTGTTGTTACGGAAAAATTTAGACACATAAAGTGGAGAGAATAGTCTAATGAATCTTTAGATGAAGAAAGGGATCTTTGAAAAATAACCTCACAGAGTGATCTAACCATAAATTTCTGACTGGGCAGTTTATGTTGGGTAGTCACATCCCAGGTATATAACTTTATAGGAAAGGGTTAATCTTTAAGCCTTGTCCAATGTTTCTGTGCATCTAGATTAACATAACTTTGAAACGCCTCTTTTTAGACCCTTTTTTCTAATGTGAACCACCCTTTCAGACCCTCTCCTTTAAGAAGTAACCATCCTCGCCCTGGCCAGTTTGGCTCAGCAGTTAGAGCATCAGCCTGCAGTCCAGAGAGACCCAGGTTCGGTTCCCACTAAGGGCACATACCTCAGTTGCAGTTTGTCCCCGGCCCTGGTTGGCTTGTGCGGGTGGCAACCACTCAATGTGTCCCTTTCACGTCGATGTTTCTCTCTCTCTCCTTCCCACTCTGTCTGAACAAAAAATGGAAAAATGTTGTTGGGTGAGGATAAAAAAAAAGAAGTAACCATCCTCTAGAGAGCTTAAGCTTAACTATCCTGTAATCTAATCCCCACCTTGCTTTCTCCCACCTTCATGTAATCATCCTTGTGTTCTCTCCTTAATTATGAATGTATAAAAGAAACTGCAAACTGTTATTTTATGGAGCATTTGAGATCTTGCTTGCTGGCATATGTCATCAGTTTTGGCTCAAATAAACTCATAAAAATTCTCTACGGGTTTTAACTTATGTCAAATGAACCCCTATATGCCACCCCCCAACTTCAGCCAGTCTGGTTTCACCCTATAGCAGCTATCTTGCTACCATGAGAAAAGGGCCAAAAGAATCGGAGTCATCATTCCACCAAACCAATGCCAGCAGCCATCCTCCTCCAGAATTCTTTTGTTGTTGTTGTTAATCCTCTACTGAGGATATTTTTTCATTGATTTTTATTTTTTTATTATTTTTTTAGTTCTCACTGGAGGATATTTTTCCATTTATCTTCAGATAGAGTGGGAGGGAGGGAGAGAGAGAGAAATATCGATATGAGAGGGACACATCAACTGGTTGCTTCCCGCATGACCCCGACCAGGGCCGGGGACGAACTGCAACTGAGGTATGTGTCCTTGGCTGGAATCGAACCCACTACTCTGTGGTCCACGGGCGATGCTTTAACCACTGAGCCAAACTGGCCAGGGCTCCATTGATTTTTAGATAGGATGGAAGGGAGGGAGAGAGAGCAAGATAAACAAATATTGATGTCCATCCCTTGGTTGCCTCCTGCAAGACCCAGACCAGGGCTGGGGATCAAACCTGCAACCCAGGTATGTGCCGTTAACTGGAAATCACATCCAAGACCCCCTGGTCCGCTGACCAACACTCTAATTGCTGAGCCAAGCCAGCCAGGGCCAGAATTCTTGTAAGTAAATATTGAAACCCTTGTTGTTGAAGTTAACAACAACAAAAATTGGCTCATCAGTGGACATTAAACTGGGGGTGAATGTTTGTTAAGAAACCAGGATAATTAGTTTCAAAGTATTTTTCCATAAATTACTTATTAACAAGTACAACATACTAAATGACACTAGAGAAATCTGGCAGACAATTTTAATCAGGTTAGCATAATCAGTGATGGAAGAAATCAAAATTTTATGCCTCTTGATACATGTATGCACTGAGAACATCATCACTTCTATGGTTCCTATCCTAAATGCAAAAATCATGAGGAAATATTAGACAAATACCAGTTGAGAGGCTTTCTATAAAATAACTACCCTGTAATCTTCCAAAGTATCAAGGTCATGAAAGACAAAGAAATATTGAGAAACTGTTCTAGACTGAAGGAGA